CCCCCCCCCCCCGGCGGCAGGACGTGTTGGAGACGATGAACGACCTCCGGGGGTCCCCGTCCCCCGTGTCCTCGAAGCGGCCCCCGCTAAGCCGGCTGTCGTCCTTCTCGGCGGAGGCTCGCACCAAGAACAGGAACGACCGGAACGTTCTGTGAAGATCTCAGGAACGTTATGAGGAGCGTTCTCTGACGACAAGGAACCTACTGTGACCAGCGGAGGACTCGTTTGGTCCCGGTCACGCACAATATAATATTATCTTTCTGTACACATTTATTATTATGCGGCTTGGTGTATGGAAAATTATCATGCCACGTTTTACCGGTCAGCTTGTCGCTTCCCGCGCGCGGCGCGTGTGTAGTGTTGCCGTCGGAATACGTTCAAATTTTTCACACATGTAGATTCGTTCAGTAGATTCGGGCTTGCGGGCCCACTTTTACGCAACCATCTGGAAGACGGCGGTGGTGGTGGCAGTGGTGGCGTGATTATCTTTGCGCCTACGCGGATTCGATGCATGGTCGTGGTTAATAGTTAGACATGGAGCTGGAAAGGCGACTTTGGGTAGGTAGGCCTGATGCTCGAAATGAGGTAAGTCTCAGCATCTCTCGTCGTAGCGCCCATTTTCTTTGACAGGTATTTTGGATGTAGTGGGAAGGGGATAGGGTTAGGGATAGGGATAGTTCATGGTTTCTAGGAATGCATGAGATGAGAGACGTCACGCGTTGGTTCGTCATCTTCGGCTTTCCACACGAAATATGGTGCACGCACATGAGGGGCACTGCGGTCTCCCCTTTTTCTCGTTTTTCGTTGGACTCAATCAATTCCGTAATTTTCACGCTCCAGCATGTACTCCCATGTATCAATGTCATGTGGTCCTGCTGTACGTGGCTCCCTCCCTCCATCTTCGGCTTTCCACACGAAATATGGTGCACGCAAATGAGGGGCACTGCGATCTCCCTTTCTCGTTTTTCGTTGGCCTCAATCAATTCCGTAATTTTCACGCTCCAGCATGTACTCCCCTGTATCAATTTCGTGTGGTCCTGCTGTACGCGGCTCCGTCCCTCCCCCTCTGTACTATATTTAGTCGAACAAGGAACAAAACAGCCAGTGAGTGGTGGTGGTGGCGATACGAGGGTGTTTGCGGACGGGTCGTTTGTTTTGGTCTTGTACAAGAAGAATTCGGGAGGGAAGCTCGAATCAACATCTATCTGCGGATTTGGTCTCAAAACTTCAGCATGAAGCCCACGGGGGAAATTAGGACTTTTCTGTTGCCTTGCGGGGGCAATTCGCAAAAGTGAACGATCAAGTTCCTGGAGATGTTTCCAACTTCGGCCCTCGGTGTGATCAAATATTCCGAAGGACCAAACCAATATTTCATCTTCGCAAACTCCGTATGTATGTACAGTCTACCACAGACACAAGTGAGAGGCTTGGCTACGTGCTGTACCCAACTGCACGAGAAAACGTCCGGAATTTCGGATTTACGAAACACTCCCATGCTACAGGCCGGTCGCCCCGCCCGGTGGCTAGTTTTGGTGTCCTCCAAAACCTTCCAGAGTGGTCAGGGTCGGGGGTTCGAATCCCGGCGCAAGCGAGCTGTTGTTCTTGCCAAGTGAGTTGTTCTCCTGCTTCCGTTCCTGGCCTTTTTGGAAAGCGCTGGTTCGTGTGTACACAGAGGCAAGAGAGTGCTGCACTCAACCGTATAAACAATCGAAGGCCAAGCACGCAGGGGGAGTAGGGAGGGGGCCTCAGGGAGAGGAACCCTTGTGCGTGACCACGGGTTGGAGTAACGGACAAAAAGTGCTGTGTAAATATTGAAGCAAATAATGAACAAAAATATACGCATGGAAATAATAATGTTCTGAAATTTCAGCTGTTCCGACTAAAACAAAAGGCATTCACACTCGACCCTTCTTCCCCTCGCTCCTCGACAAGCTTTTGCTTAGACATGGGTTGTAGTGAAGGGGGGGGTCTTTCTGGCGAGCAGGGCTAGATTCACCCTCAAGGGATGACCGAAACCTTCTTGCTGCTGCGCATATCCGCCGCGAGGCATGCGCGTGGTGGTGTAGTTGGGTCGGCACTGATGGGGTCAGGCGAAAAAATGTAGATGCGCGGGCCTCTGGCCGTCGGCGTAGGCAGCGATG